GGTGAAAAAAAGAGGGAAATAAACCATGGGAGACTCTTAAAGACAGGACTAGCAGGATTGCTGGAGGGAGGTGAGTGGGTGATGTGTATTAAGGAGGGCACTTGTGAGGAGCACTGGGTGTTGTATGTAAGTGATGAGTCACTGAAAAGTCTACTCCTGAAGCCAATATTTCATTGTATGTTAACCAACTAAAACTTAAAAAAAAAGAAAAGAAAAACAATTACTGAAATGAATAGTAAGTACTGTGACTGTGTAAGAGAATATTCTTGGGAAATAAACATGAAAGTGCTTAGGGGGAGGCCCACGGTGGAAGAAACAGCCTGAAAGGATTCAGAAACAATGATATAGGTTGATGGATAGATGCCATCTGATAAAGTGAATGAGTTAAATATTAACAGTTGATGAATCTGGTATGCTGGTGTTCTTTTGAACTATTTTTATGTATGCAACTTTCCTGTACCTCCTGATCTAAGGCACCTAGCATTCCACTGGAAACTTCACAAGGGGGTCATGTGGAGTATCTGGGGAGGAAAGAGAGGGAGTAGGCCATTGTGGATAAAGCAACCACCAAAGAGAACCACGCTGTCTGTATAAGGGGAAGGTCTTTGGCAAATACGGTCTTCTTCTCTCATTTTTTTTCATTTCCAAAAAAAAAAAAAAGTTCAAGCATTTTCTTTTGCAATATTACAGATTTACAGGAGTTTGCAAAATTAGTACTCCCGGGTCCACCCAATGACATATTATGTAACTGCAGCATGATATCAAAACCAGGAAGTTGACATCAGTGCATTACCGTTAACTACAGACGTTATTTTATTTTCATCATTTTAAAACCTGCGTTCGTTTTTGTGTGTGTCTAGCTCTATGCAATTTTATCACATGTATAGATTCCTGTAATGCTACCATCAAGATCTAAAATTGTTCCATCACCACACAAGAACTTCCTGTGCTATCTCTTCGTGTTTGTGTATCCAAGCCCCTTCTGTCCATCTCTGACCCTCAGCAACCACTAATCTGTTCTTCATCTCTATAGGTTAACCATTCAGAGAATGTTACACGAGTGGAACCAAACATCGTATCAATGTAACCTTTTGCAACTGGCTTTTATCATTAAGTGATGTCTCTGAGGCCCACTTGTCGCATATATTGTTGTTAATAGTTAATACTTTCTCATTGCTGGATAGTATTTCACTGTGTGGATCTCCCTGAGTTTGTTCGACCATCCACCCACTGAGGGACAGTCGATGAGTTTCCATTTTTTCGCTGGTATGAACGAAAGTGCTGTGAACAGTCATGCACAGCTTTTTGTGTCGAACATGAGTTTTCGTTTCTCTGCGATAAATACCCGGGGCGGCAACTGCTGGGTCACGTGGTAATTGCATGTCTAGTTTTGTAAGAAACTACTAACCTGTTTTCCCCAGTGGTTGTACCACTTTCGATTTCCACCAGCAGTATATGAGAGCTTCTACATATCCTCATCAGCATTTGGCATTATCGCTGTTCTTTATCTTAGCCATTTTAGGAGGTGTGAGGTGATACCTCACTACGGTTTTTAATGTTTAGCTTGCATTTCCCAAATGGCTAGTGGTATTGAACATCTTTTCACGTGCTCCTTTGCCATCCATATCTCCTCTTTGGTGAAATATTTGTTCAGTTCTTTGGGATTTTAATAATTCTTTTTTTTTTAATTTTTTAACGTTTATTTATTTTTCAGACAGAGACAGAGCATGAATGGGGGAGGGTCAGAGAGAGAGGGAGACACAGAATCTGAAACAGGCTCCAGGCTCTGAGCTGTCAGCACAGAGCCCGACGTGGGGCCTGAACCCACAGACTGCGAGATCATGACCTGGGCCGAAGTCAGACGCTTAACCGACTGAGCCACCCAGGCGCCCCTTAATAATTCTTTATATATTCTCTATGTGGGCCTCTGTTGACTCTGTGGTTTGCGAAGATTTTCTCCCCATTTCCGGCTTGTCTTTTCATCGCTTAAACAGAATATTTCACAGCACAGGAGGTTTTTTTATGTTGGTAGAGTCCAACTTACTAATTTGTTAATTTTACATATTTTGCCGTTGGTGTCACACCTGAGAATTACCTGCTTACCCCTACTACTGAAGACGCTCTCCTATGTTACCTTCTCTAAGTTTTATATTTTATTTTAAGATCCACAATCCATTCTAAGTTTATTTTTGCTTATGGTGTGAAATGGAGGTGGAGGTGAAATTGTTAAAATCTAGAGCTGGGTGGCATTTCAAATCAGTGGAGGAAATGTGAATTATTGAATAACTAGTCCTGCCATTTGGAAAAAAATAACATTCTCTTCTTATAACAAACTAAACCCCAGATGGCTCAAAAATTTAAAACATAAACAGGCGTATATTAAACTAAAAAGGTTTCCCCACATTCATCATTGGAGACATGCAAATTGAAACCACATTGATAACCCTTTTTCCACCTACTATTGGATTGGTAGAAGTTAAGAAGGCGGATAACGTGCAGTGTTGTTGGGGGGGGGGGGCGGAGTGTGGAGGAAGTTGTTTCCACGCCAAGTTGGAGGAAAAGTGGATCAGCTTGTTATATTTGGACGACAACTTGTCAAAATCTGTCGGAATTAAAAGTGGTCATATCTTTTGACACAGCCATTCCATGTTTAGGCGTTTACCCTAGAAATATACAAGTGTACATTGTACTACTTGGGAACATCTCCTCGAGTTTGTCAGAGACTGATTCAAGTTTGCAAAATAATGTTATAGAATAAACCATCGTGTAAAGGGAAAAAAAAAGAATGGTTACAAGTTGTCTAAATGATATTTTACATTTGAGCATTTTTTGCATGTAGAATGCACCTAAAGGGATGTGAATATCTCACTAGGGGGCATTTCCTTCTGCTAATGTACAATTTCAGAAATTAAAACTGTAGAATGGAAGCTGAGCTCACCACCTCCATCTCTGCCACCTCAGGTCTCAGATGTCCCTTTGGAAGGGGGACGCCGCTCACAGCACTCGCCCTCAAATCGCTTCACGGGGCCTTCCTTTCGTGCTTTGTACTTGGGATGTTTATGTGGAGGGGTCCTCTCCTTTATTAGACGGTGAGCTCCTTGCCTAGGGACGATATCATCCTCCTATCCGTACTGTCCCTAACACCTGGCTTAGATCAGACGCACAGAAGCTGCTCAATAAATGTTTGCTGGCTGGATGTCCAGCTTTAGGCACTGGGAGGCATCTCCCAGGCTGGCAGCATTATCCATAAGGGACGGCAAGGCCCCAAGGCAAATCAGTGTAAGGTCTGCCCTTCTCCCCTTGCCA